GGATTTTTACGTCTGTTCATAAGAGAATATAAGTCTGTAGTTTTCTTGTGATTGCTTTGTCTGTTGTTTTGTATTAAGACAATACTGTCCTTGTATAATGAGTTAGGAAATGTTCCCTCATCCTTGGAATAGTTTGTAAAGAATTGGCATTGATTCTTCATTAGATGTTTGCTGGTAGAATTCACCAGTAATGTCACTGAGGCCTTAGCGTTTCTTTGTGGGAAGTTTTTAATTATTAACTTAATCTAATCTTGTTCTTAGGTCTATTTAGATATTCTTGTTTTTTTTTTTTTTTTTTCCAGTCAGTTTTGGTAGTTTTTTAGGAATTTGTCCACTTAATTTAAGCTATCTAATTTGTTGGCAAGTCGTTGGTTACGGTATTACCATAATCCCCTTTTCTTTCTGTGAAACCTCATAATGTCTTTTTTTTTTTTTTACTCCTAATTTTTTTCGAGTCTTTGCTCTTCTTTCTTAAGCTAAATTTTGTTGATCCTTTAAAAAAAACAGCTTTGGTTTTGTGTTTTCCTATATTTGTCTATTCTCTATTTTATTAATTTATCCTCTCACCTTTATATTTTCCTTATTCTGCTTGTTTTAGGCTTAGGTTACTTTTTCAAGTATCTTTACCTGGTAGGTTAGTGATTTCAGGAATTTTTTTTGGTAATGTATGCATTTACTAGTTCAGTAAATTTGTTTTATTAACTTTTCCTTATTGAGGTAAAGTTGACATAAAATCATCCCCAAAGAGTACAATTCAATGGGATTTAATATATTCATAATGTTGAATAATCACTTCCCCTGTCTGGTCACAGAATCCCCACAAAGTGAAACCCCGTACTCATTAAGCATTACTCCCAGTTTTTCTCTTCTTTGTGGCCCATTATACTTAGCCAAAGTTCATAGTTTATATTGTCACTCGTTCTTGGTAGTGTGCATTATGTGTGTTTGGACAAACATATAATGGTGTGTCCATCACTATGGGATCATACAGAGTATTTTCATTGCCCTAAAAATTCTCTGTTCAGCCTATCCATCATCCCCATCCCTCAACCTCTGATCTTTTACTGTGTTCATAGTTGTGCCTTTTCCAGAATGTCATGCGTGTTGTTAGAATCATATACTATGTATCCTTCTCAGATTGACTTCTTTTCACTTTGTAATATGCACTTAAGGTTCCATCATGCCTTTTCTTGGCTCAGTGGTACATTTGTTGAAGTGCTTAAGAACATGGTGTTGTCAGGCTATAACAGTTTATTTATCCATTTGCCTACTGAAACCCATCTTGGTTGCTTTAGAGTTTTGGCAATTATAAATAAAGTTGCTATAAACATCTGTGTACAGGTTTTCATCTTTTTTGAGTAAGTACCAAGAAGCATGACTGCTGGATTGTATGGTAAGAGTATGTATAGTTTTGTAAGAAATTAGTTTTATAAGAAATTACCACCACACGGTTTTCCACAGGCTGTACCATTTTGCATTCCCACTAGTAATGTGTGAGAGTTCCTACATCCTTGCCCTTATTTGGTTGTTGTCAGTGTTTCAGATTTTGGCCATTCTAATTGGTGTGTAGTGGCATCTGTGGTTGTTTTTGTTTTTTGAGACAGAGCATGAGCGGGGGGAGGGGCAGAGAGAAGAGAGAATCTTAAGCAGGCTCCCTGTGATGCAGGGCTCTGTCTCATGACTGGGAGATAGTGACCTGAAATCAAGAATCAGACGCTTAACCAACTAAGCCACCGAGGTGCCCTGGCATCTGTTTTGTTTCCATTTGCATTTCCTTGCTGTACCTGATGTGGAGCATCTTCTCATGTGCTTATTTGCCATCTGTACGTCTTCTTCGGTGAGGTGTCTGTTAAGGCTTTGGCCCCCTTTATAAACTGTGTTGTTTGGGGTTTTTTTAGTTTTAAGAGTTCTTTGTATATTTTGGATAACTCTTATTAGATGTGTCTTTTGTGAATATTTTTTCATAGTCTGTGGCTTGTCTTCTCATTGTTGTAACATTAACATCTACCATAGTTCTGTTTTTTGTTTGATGTCCTTGTTCCTTGTTCCTGTTTTTGTCTTTCTTGCCTTTTCTGGCCTTTGTGGTTTAATTGAGTATCTTTTATGATTTTGTTTTCTCACCTTTATTATCATATCAAGTTATAACTTTTTTTCTAATTTTTTTTGTGGTTGCCCCTAGAGTTTTCTATATAGATTAATGATCCAAGTCAGCTTTCAAATAACACTATAGTATTTCATGGGTAGTGTGAGTACTTTATAAGAACAAAAATACCTGTATTCCTTCTTCTATTCCCTGGTATCATTACTATTACTCATCTCACTTGTACATGAGCATGCATAAGAGTATATGTATATACACACATAAAATACATGTAAGCATACATAACCAACTTATTACTGTGATTTGGAACATAGTAATTTGTTAGATCAATAAAATAAGTAAAATAAAGGTTTTTATTTTACCTTTACTTTTTCCTTCTTCTGTAATCTTGAGTTCTTTATGTAGATCTGAGTTTCTAACTTACATTTTTTCTTTCTTCCTATATAGCTTCTAAATATTTCTCAAAAGGCAAGTCTAGTTGCAACAATTTCCTTCAATTTCTGTTTGTCTTAGAAAGTTTTTATTTTCTCTTCACTTTTGAAGGAGGATTTTATAGGGTACAGAATTCTAAGTGTTTTTTTTTTCTTTTAACACTTTAAAATTTTCACTATACTTTTTTTGCTTCTATGGTTTCTAACAAAGCAAATGTAATTCTTACCTTTGCTCCTCTGTAAGGTATTTTTTTTTCTTTCTTTCAGGGTCTTTTCTTTATATTTGATTTTTTTTGTAGTGTGAAAACATGTGTAGGGGTAGTTTTTTCTCTTTTGCATTTATTCTGCTTTTCTCTGAGCTTTCTGGATCCACGGTTTAATGTTTGACATTAATTTGTAGAAATCATCATTCTTTTTAAAATATGTATTCTTGGGCGCCTGGGTGGCGCAGTCGGTTGGGCGTCCGACTTCAGCCAGGTCACGATCTCGCGGTCCGTGAGTTCGAGCCCCGCGTCGGGCTCTGGGCTGATGGCTCAGAGCCTGGAGCCTGTTTCCGATTCTGTGTCTCCCTCTCTCTCTGCCCCTCCCCCGTTCGTGCTCTGTCTCTCTCTGTCCCAAAAATAAATAAAAAACGTTGAAAAAAAATTAAAAAAAAAATAAAATATGTATTCTGTACCTTTTTCTTTTCCTTCTGGTATTCTTGTGCATATGGTACATCTTTTGTTGTCGCATAGTGCTTGGTTACTGTTTTAGTCTTTATTCTCTGATATCTGTGTTTTTATGGTTCTGATGCATTCTCTAGTTCAGGGATTAATTTCATCAGCTGTTTCTAGTCTCCTGGTAAGCCCATTTAAAGACATTCTTGTTACAGTGTTACTGATCTTTCATATTTATTTTAGGTACTTTCTCAGGCTTTCCATCTCTCTGCTTATATTGCTCATCTCTTCTTGCATGCTGTCTGCTTTATTCATTAGACCCCTTAACATAATTGTTTTAATTTTTATTAAAAAATTTTTTTTTAATATTTATTTACTATTGAGAGACAGAGACAGTCCGTGAGCAGGGAAGGGGCAGAAAGAGAGGGAGACACAGACCTGAAGCAGGCTCCAGGCTCTGAGCTGTCCGCACAGAGCCTGACATGGGGCTCGAACTCACAGACTGAGAGATCATGACCTGAACCGGAATCGGATTAACCAACTGAGCCACCCAGCTGCCCCTATTTGTTTTTATTTTAGAGAGAGAGTTTGCGTACGTGCATGCGAACTGGGTAGAGGGGCAGAGAGGGAGATAGAATCCCAAGCAGCCTTCACACCCAGTAGGCTCTCAGCACCATGAGATCATGGTGGTGAGGTCACGTCCTGAGCTGAAATCAAGAGTTGGATCCTCAACTGACTGAGCCACTCAGGTGCTTCTTAATTGTTGTTTTTGAATAGTTCTAGAATTCCTGCCTATCTGGTTCTGATGCTTGTACTGTCACTTCAAATTGTGTTTTTTGCTTTTTAGTAGTAGTATTTTTTCTTGATAGACATGATGTACGGGGTGAAAAATACAGTAAATAGATACATATAAACACTAATATATACACATATATATTTATGTATATTTCTCAGTACCTCCCTTCTTACTGCCTTAGGTGGGATAGGATAGCTAGAGTTGGCTGGAATTGGGTATTTCCCTTGTTGCATATGGAATAGTAGACCTGACTGGAGTTGGGTATTTCCCTTCGCTGGGTCATTTGGCTCTGATAATACCTCATCAGGTTAGGCTCTGGGGAACTAGTTGCTTGATAGGGCATGCCTTTTTGAGAACACAGTGCTCTGGATTTCTTTTCTGCTTCTGTTCCCTGAAGCACAAGGGGATTTTTCTCCAGTATTTATGTAGGAACCTGGTCTAATTCCTGGACTTGTATCTTAAAATATTTTGGGCCCTCTCCTGTGACTGAGTCCCCCTGGAGTTTTTAACCTCAGAATTGTCCACACTGAATCTCCAGCAGTTCAGGAGAATGAAACAGTTCAGGTTTTCCAACCTTGGCCCTGGTGTACAGGGTAGTTTTCTTTCATGAGTCTGTGTTCTGTGTTCTGTGACTCCCCGTATTCACCTGTCTCTCCAGTCTGGGGGACAGTGATTTGCGTTGTGTCATCCCTTCTCTTACATATCCGAGAAGACTTTGGTCAGCCTTTTACTTGTTAGTATTGAGTGATGACTTCCAAACTCCTTTTATGGGGAACTTTAAACCCCTAACCCTTAAAATAGCCTTTTTTATGTTGAAATCAACATGTGAGAAGAGTTGTTTGTGAATTAATTTATGTCATTTCAGATCGAATAGTTGTGTATTTTCTATGATATGAATGGAATGGGGTAGCAGGAAATCCTAACTGAAATTGTTTTCATTAATTTTAATTTTCAGTTTCTGAAATACCTTAAAACTGCACTGACAGCTAATTTTTGTCCTATCTTTATTCATGTAGATTTGAAACCAAAATTGATTCATTTCATGTCACTGGCTTACCAGATAATTCAACAAAACCTCACCTCCTTTCTTCCTTGGATGATGCTACGTCACTCTTCCAAATTATATTCGAGATAAATCCGTTAGATGAAACTGCTGCTCAAAGGTGTATCATAGAAGCTGAACCTTTAGAAATGATATATGATGCGGTAAGCATTTTTAAATACCTAAGTTTTAATGCATTTCAGTTTACTTTGAGTTTGTGCCTAATGTTAATGATACTTACTTTAACAGAGAACGGTGAATAGTATAGTGGAATTTTTCAGACCTCCAAAAGAGGTAAATCTAGCACAGCTCACTTCAGCAACTTTGATTAAACTTGAAGAATTTCGTGACAAGACAGCAACAGGTAAGTGCCAGTATTAATGTTGTTATATTCAGCAGCAGCATATTGTATACTAAACTTTTAGTCATGTTTAACTTACTTTAGTAAACTGTACTTTAAATTTATGCTTCTGGATTAGAACAGTTTTGTTTAAACTAATTAGTACTTTTATATTTAAAATCAAATACAACGATCATTTCTTACACTCATGTCAAACTTACTACCACACTCAAGTTAATTGCAAATTTTGTTAGGATTTTTGCAATTCTGTTCATGAGGGAGTAAACCTGTCTTTTTCCTTTCAGATAAGGAATTCCAGATATTAATATATTGGCCTCAGAAAATAAGAATTCTTGTTTTATTCTTGCGGAGAGTTTTTGTAAGATTGGGTGTTACTTCCTCCTTCAATATTTGGCCTAATTGAACAGTAAAACCATATAGGCTTGGAGGTTTCATTGTGGAAGATTTTAAGCTACAGATTCCATTTTTAAAATATATTAAAAAAATACATTTTTAGGGACACCTGGGTGGCTCAGTTGGTTAAGCATCTGACTGTGTATTTCACCTCAGGTCAGGATCTCATGGTTTGTGAGTTCGAGCCCTGCATCGGATTCTGTGCTTACAGCTCAGAGCCTGGAGCCTGCTTTGGATTCTGTGTCTCCCTCTGACCCTGCCCCTACCCCATTCATGCTCTGTCTGTCTCAAAAACAAATAAACGTTAAAAAAAGTTTTTTTTTTTTTTTTAACTTAGAAAAGAGAAAGTTTAGTTAATATAGAATGCCTGTTTTATGAAACTTATTAGCTTCCAATGATGAGTGCTTCCCTTTTTACTTGCCCTGCATTAATTTGTGTGTTTAAAGTTTTCTCACAGTCCACATTCACTTGAGCAGTTAATAAAAGATATTAAATTTTTCTTCTTTCTAAAGTAATCTGGGCAGAGCGCCTGGGTGGCTTAGTAGTCAGTTAAGCATCTAACTTGATTTTTGACTCCGGTCATGATCTCAAGTTTGTGAGTTCGAGCCCTGCATCAGGCTCTGCACTAGCATTGCGGAGCCTCCTTGGGATTCTCTCTCTCCCTCTCTCCTTCTCTCTGCCCTTACCCTTGCTTGCATGCACTCTCTCTGTCTCTCTCTCAAAAAATCAAACATTAAAAAAATAATCTGGCATTTTTTCATTTCAGTCTTCTAAGACCTCTGATGTTGTCAGTGATTTCTAGGAAAGTGTTAATATTGATTAATGTCAGCAGCTGGGATGTGACTTTACCAAGTGTTCCCTTAAGTCAAAGTCTTACCGGTTAAGAGTTTTAAGTTGTCTTACTATATCGTGCTTTTCCAGGTTCAATGTAATCTTTGAAGAGCCAGATGGATTAAAAAAAACCACAGGAACAGAGCTCTTTGGTTTTTCAATCACATATTTTCTTTACATAATTCAAAGAAGGCTGGTTTTGTTTTTGCTTCCATAATGTTACTTCTGTTCTGACTATAACTAAAAACTACCTTTGAAACACTGAACTCCTCCTCTCTCTCCCCGCCCTCCAAATATACCAGGCATTTAATCTTTCTGACATTTCTATAGATTCTTAAAAGTTTTATATTTGTTTTTGGTAGTATCTTTCCTGTTGTCAGTGTCTCCTCAAAATCTGAGATTATTGCATAGACTGCTTTTTAGCTATTTTTGACATTTTAATTCTTGGGTGAAATTCTCACTTGAGTGGTTTCCAATTTTAATGTCAAAGTGTTAGCTTTAGAACCCCATTTTTGTTAAGTCTGGATTATATCTCTTATTGAAATCAGAATTCATTTAGTTCTGCCTGTCACAAAATATAACATGAAATTGTCATTTTTCTCCTACCCTTTCCTTTGTATTCACTTTATCTTTGTTGGTAGAAATGAGATGTGCTAATATTCTCCTGTTTTTTCTTTCTCCTAAGAGAAAATATTTTAGCCAAGTAAAGTAAAAAATTCACTTCATGTTTTGATGAGACCTTCAAGAGCTGTCTAACTAGTTTAAGCATCATATCGTTAGGCTCCATTACCTCTCAGTTTTATGATTGCATTTTGATACATTATTCACTTGTTTTTCACAGAGAGCTGGGCATTATGTTTTTCATAATAGTGCCTTCTCTGGTTTTTACTCATTTTCCCCATGATTTTCTCCATCTGAGTATGTTTTATATTAGATTGCAGGTAATTAATTACCTTAATTCTAGAAGCTATAGGGTTTGCATTTACCCATCTACTGTTAAAATCTCACATGCCATTTATAGTTCAAATTCTGTGTATTAGTATAATACATACTCAGTAGAATTCATAAGCATAAGGTCAGACCTGTTTTCTGATTGATTCTTCCTAATCGTAGAAACCATTACTTGTTACATATGAATGCATTGTGTTGGAGACTTACCATATTCCTTCAGATTTGTAGACATTTTTTTCCTAAGATTTGTTTTCCTAAGCTTTTTTTACTTAGGAAAGAATTACCAAAATAGTAAATATCCACTGTATAAACTTAAGATGTTATAGAAATATTTTAGGAAGTGGAGGTTTTTAGTATATTACCATCGAAAGGTAACAGACTTTACAATTTGAAGTCTATTCTTCTAATTCTGTTTCCTTCTGTACACAAATAGTATTATTATGTAGAATAAATGCTAATCGTATGGAAAAGTGGGGTGCTACTATGTTCTTGAATTTAAAAAAATTCAGTAAGTTACTTTTAATATTTTTCCAGAAAGTTAAAATTTACTAATTTGGGAAGAGAGTTACCTGTTAAGAGCTTTATATATTTTGGTTCTTCATTCATTCCCCCCTTCCATTTTTTTTTTTTAATTTTTTTTTTCAACGTTTATTTATTTTTGGGACAGAGAGAGACAGAGCATAAACGGGCAAGGGGCAGAGAGAGAGGGAGACACAGAATCAGAAACAGGCTCCAGGCTCCAAGCCATCAGCCCAGAGCCCGACGTGGGGCTCGAACTCACGGACCGCGAGATCGTGACCTGGCTGAAGTCGGACGCTTAACCGACTGCGCCACCCAGGCGCCCCCCCTTCCATTTTTGATTTTTTTTTCTATATTAGCCTCTATTATTATCTTCTTCCTATATAACCTTATTTGTTTCTTGTATTCTTCATTTTTTCTTAGGAGTGAAGGTTTTCAGATCTTTTCCTTTTTTGTCAAGTAGGGGGATCAGCTTACAGAACACACACATGTATGTAGTTAGTTACCCTTGTCAAATGTGGTTGTTCTGACAAATATGGTCATTTAGTAAAACCTTTCTTTTGACATGTAAGGCTTGCAGGGAGTATCTAGGGACTTGGATTTGTAGAATCAGGCATATATGAAACAGATTATATTGGATGAGGAAGTCTTAGAAATGGAAATGAGGGTAGAGAAATGCTTAACAGGAGATGGAGTATCTTGAATGCTAGATTGTCCCTTCTGGCTGCTTCTTGAGACTCTCATACCTGCCTCCGCAAACAAACCTCAGTAAAACCACATTGTCTGTGTTTGAATACAGATCACTTGGGGGGAAAAATTAACAACTGTGCTTTGAGTCAGTTCTGTACTTCAGTTCCAAGCTTATTAAATGTTTCATAGAACATAATTTTAAAAAGCTATATGTACCCGGTTTTACTCAAATGGAGTTTGTGGGTCAAATACATTTATTTGAGGAATCAGTCCAATTTTGTACTCACTTATATTTAATCAGGAGTGAGTATACACACACATTGACTAACAAATATTTTTATTTTATATTAAAAATATTTTGCTCAAAGTATTTTTAAAATTAATTCTAATTTCACATTATTTTCTGTTCAAATTTTTTGCAGGTCTACTATATATTATTGAAACACAGAAAGTTCTTGATCTCAAAATTGATTTGAAGGCTTCATACGTTATTATCCCACAGGATGGAATTTTTAGCCCCACATCAAATCTGCTTATTTTGGATCTTGGTCATCTAAAGGTATATAGTAATACTTGTTTTATATTATGACATTTAAGGTGTTTCCCTGTGTAAAATGTATTTTGTTTTAAAACAGTTTGATTTGCTATATTGATTATTAGGTAGCTTCTAGGATTTGAAAATTCTTCCTTTCTAGTAAATAATGTGAAGATTTATTTAATTAGGTAGTTTCCCTACATTTCTAAAAGCAGAATTATCATTTGAAATCTGCAGGTGAGGAGTAAACCTAAAAATTATATTTATAGGGGCGTCTACGTGGCTTAGTCGGTTAAGTGTCCAACTTCAGCTCAGGTCATGATCTCACAGTTGGTGAATTTGAGCCCCACGTTGGGCTCTGTGCCAACAGATCAGAGCCTGGAGCTGCTTTGGATTCTGTGTCTCCCTCTCTCTCTGCCTCTCCCCTGCTCACACTCTGTCTCTCTCTGTCTCTCTCTCAAAAATAAATAATAAAACATTTAAAAAAAATTATATTTACAGAATTTGAGAGTAGTGCTTTCCTTTTCAATTTAAATTTGCTACTTGACTGAAATATATCAGATGGGAGGGAGTTCTGGAAATAATCAAATACATCTTTATCCTTCTGAAACTTTTTGCATGTATAACTTTAGATATTGATGTTTTAATAGTTCTGTTAAATCTTAATTTGAGAGATGTTCTTCTTGCATTTACCTAAGTCATTTCCCTTTCCATCCAACTATGTACATTTTTTCCCCGCAGTTTTGAATAGAGAATATTTTGTGTGTGTGTTTCTAGATCTGCATGGTTCTCTATGGTACCCATTGGCCACATGTGATTGTTTATGATGAGTAAAATTAAGTAACATAAAAATTAGTTCTTTGGGGCGCCTGGGTGGCGCAGTCGGTTAAGCGTCCGACTTCAGCCAGGTCACGATCTCGCGGTCCGTGAGTTCGAGCCCCGCATCAGGCTCTGGGCTGATGGCTCGGAGCCTGGAGCCTGTATCCGATTCTGTGTCTCCTCTCTCTGCCCCTCCCCCGTTCATGCTCTGTCTCTCTCTGTCCCAAAAATAAATAAACGTTGAAAAAAAAATTAAAAAAAAAAATTAGTTCTTTAATCATATGAGTCACATTCAAGAATTAAAATAGTCACAAGTGACTTGTGTCTATTATGTCAATACAGAGATAATAATGCCATCCTTGTAGAAAGTTCTCTTAGACCACATTACTCTAGATCATTAAATGTAGATTAAATAGCTGTAACACTTTAAACACTCACGAGGGATGGATGATATTGGCATGCTTTCTGGCTACCCAACAAATATATGCCTTTCCTCGGTATTGTCCTTTATTGTATGTTTTTACTCTTGAGTTATTAATTATGTACATGTTTACTGGATTTATATTTATAATAAGCTTTATACACTTAATTATTTATAGTTCACTTTAGTTATGGAATTGTTTCAAGGGTAGTGTGGTATAGTAGAACGAGCAACATCAAGAGTAAGGTGTCTAGTTTTGTGATCTTAGGCAATTTCCTTAACCTACCTTTCAGAGATAATCAGTTTTGATAGTCTGTGGCACATGAGCTATATAAAATAGAGGTGAAAATGTTAAGGTAAGTACACACACACACACACACACATATGAATGTATAAGATCTTTATATATGGCAGTAGAGTGATCTTCAGAAGGTTAAGTGAAAAACGTATTGTGTATAATACGTTAAGAAGAGGGTGGTACAAAAAAACTTTGTTGGGGTCGTATAAATGGCCAAGTTGGGACTACAGTTCAGTTATTCTAATACCTAATTCTGGATTCTTCTTATAAAAGTGTCTAAATATCTGTCATTATGCCATAGAAACATTTTGTAGGCTACACATGTCTCAATTTGTTTTTAATAAAAAGGCTTCTTGTCAGATCTTAAAAAATTTTAAATGTTTTATTCTCTAGGATTGGCTCGGTTTTCCTCTGTTAATATATGCAATTGAGAAATATAACTTAATGTGTAAAAATTTACTTTGTACCTGGTCTTTTTGTTAGACATGTCATAGATACAGACATTTCTATTAGCCTTTTATGTCAACTTATGAATCTTTTATTAAATTTTTATGTTATAGTCTTAAAGATAAAAAATTTATATTTTCATTTCGAAGTATTTTGCATCATCTAAACTATTAAAATTAACTTCAAGGTGACAAGTAAAAGTCGTTTGGAGTTACCAGATATGAAACAAGGTGGGGCCAGACTTGAAGAGATAATGCATAGAGCTTATGATTCCTTTGATGTTCAGCTTACAAGCATACAGCTGCTTTACAGCACAGTTGGTAAGTATATAATGCATTATTTAGTGATTCATTTGGCTGCAATGATTAACTAGGTTTTTAGACAGTTTCTCTGAAGACCTTCATCCCAAATACATTAGAACATTTATATTTTCGAATTAGAAGTAATAGTAGTTGCGCCTGGGTGGCTCAGTCGGTTGCGTGTCCCACTCTTGATTTCCGTTCGGGTCAAGATCTCATGGTTTGTGAGTTCAAGCCCTGCATCCGACTCTGTACTGATAGCACAGAGCCTGCTTGGAATACTCTCTCTTTCCTCTCTCTCTGCCCCTCCCCTGCTTGCTCTCTCTCTGGCTCTCAAAATAAATAAACATCTTAAAAAAGGTTAAAAAGGTAATAGGGGGCACCTGGGTGGCTCAGTCAGTTGGGAAGCTGACTTCAGCTCAGGTCATGATCTCACACCTCATGAGTTTGAGCCCCGTGTCAGGCTCTGTGCTCACAGCTCAGAGCCTGGAGCCTGCTTCAGATTCTGTGTTTCCCTGTTTCTCTGCCCCTCACCTGCTCACATTCTGTCTCTCTCTTTCAAACATAAACATTAAAAAAACATTTTTTTTAAAGTAATAGTAGATATTGCCTAGGACCAGTATCTCAGGTATCTGGTTTTTATCCCTCAAGAGACATTATTAAAGTCTGGAGACGTTTTGGTGGTCACTGCTGATGAGTAGGTGCACTACTAGCATCTAGTGAGAGGAGGTCAGGGATGCTACTACTAAACATCGTACAGTGTAGAGGAAAGGCCCCCCCACTTATTTGGCCCAGATGTCAGTAGTGCTGAGATGGAGAAATCCTTTGGACCAGGTTGGAAAACCTTGGCACATATTTAAAGTATTTATTTTATACAGAATAATCACAAGAGGCTGCTCAAGGCCAGAGGCAACCGATCTAGGGCCTCTGACCACCCAGCCCTTAAACAGCCAGATAGAGACTGAGGAGGGTCTTAGGGGGACTGAGGAGGGTATCCTAGGCATACCTTTACTCCGTTCACTCTGATGTACTAATCAGGAGTCTCTGATCCAGATCTAGTTTTAACATAAAGGCAACAGCCAGAAATTCACTTGTAAAGAACCACTAAAGTAGATAGAGATCCAAGACTAATTTGAGCCCTCTTTCTACAGGGTCATACTGTTGATGATTCCACGGAGTGTTAGGTGTTAGTAAACATTTAGATAATTCAACAGAATTGGATTGGTGGCTGTTCTAGAGATCTGTATATGTGTGTATATGGTCAAATTTTAATTATCTGAGCTAACTAATAAAAAAGGAAGCAATGAGAACCCAAAATAGTAGTTATTAGAAGTATTGATTTATATAGTATTGGTACATTTTAATTTTTTTTTTTAACTAAAACTGCTTTGAGATAATAAACTTTCTGTTTTTGTCAGATTCCAGTTGGTGTAGAAGAAACCCAGAAGTGTAGTGGGTGGCAAATATAAATTGTTAATAGAAAACCCATAAATTTTTCTCAGGGAATAAATTACAGTATTTTGGTATGTTTGCTACATTTTTGTCATTTTTAAAGTCCATGCACCGTACTTAATATTGACATGCTTTTTGAAAAAAAAATTTAAAGTATTCCATTGTTATCTGAAAATTACTGGAATTCCTTGGAATTGTTCTTGATAAGCACAAACTCTTAATCTTTTTTGAGCAAGATATTTTTGACATTGGGGCTACTTTAGGTGATTATCATAAACTTTCATGATAAATACTGAATCACATGCTTCTGAATATTTTCTGTGAATTGAGAAGTAAAGAAAATATTTATCTCAATACTGTTGGAATTTAAAAAATTGTAAGAGTTCATTTTACCACCTTTCTTTACATCTAATCATTCATTGGCTTGTTTTTCCTTGACTGGGAACTTTATTGGACCTAAGGAATGATTAGGTTCAAATGAGGTAACGTAAATGAGGATGCATTGTCACATACATTTCATGTTAGGAGATGTGGATGTAAATTTCAGATTTTATCACACACTAGCCTTTGACCATAAGTAAGTTAATAAATTCCTGTGAATCTGTTTTTTAAAATGGGATGATTAAATATCATTGTGAGAATTAAGTGAAAATTAAAACATTGCCTAGAATAGCTGTTAACAAATCTTGAATAACTGGTAGCTTTTATTGACAGAAAAGAGCTGTGCTTTTCTCTGCCTTTTTCATTATTGCCTTAGAGCCATGTTGTTTTTTGGGTAAAGTAGTCTGGTTGGTGTAGCAACTGTAAATGGATGCACAGATTTGATTAAACTATATTGTTGGGTTTTTTTGTATTTTGTTTTTAATTTTAGAGCACGCAAGCTGGGAAGAGGGGCAGAGGGAAGGAGGGAGGGAGGGGGAGGAGAGAGGGAGAAAAGGGGGGGAGGGAAGGGAATATGAATCGCAAGCAGACTCCAAGCACGGAACCTGATGCAGGGCTCGATCCTATGACCCTAGGATCATGACCTGACCAAAAATCAAGAGTCACAGAGTCAACCAACTGAGCCATCTAGGTGCCCCTAAACTATATTGTTGGTTTTTAGTAAGTATTTTATGCAATTCATATTGAAACAGAGTCTTTGAAGCAGTAGAAGGAAAATGATGAAAGGGAAAAGAATTTACCTGTTGATTATATGTACTGGGGAAGGTGGCTTTAAGATTGTCTGGATATAGGAAGAATTTCCCATATCATGCAGTGTATGACTACAAAGTATTCATAGTAATTTTAGGTTTAATGTGTTTTTCAAATTATACATGTGCTAAGTAAACATGTACTGTTTTCCACAATTAGGTGATAATTGGAAAGAAGCTCGAAAACTTAATGTATCTACACAACATATTTTGATACCTATGCACTTCAATGTGGAACTTGCTAAGGCCATGGTTTTTATGGATATAAGGATGCCCAAGTATGTATTGTCTGTTTTATGTGATTGTAGATTTTCTTAGAAATTCCTTAGCTAAGGAGATACCATATTTCATTGTTGTTGGGTTTTTTTGGTGGTAAAATGTACATAACCTAAATTTTACCTTTTCTAAGTGTATAATTCAGTGGCATTAAGTACATTCACATTGTTGGGTGACCACCATCACCATCCATCTCCAGAACTTTGTCATTTTCCCACACTGCAATTCAGTACTTGTCAAACAATAATGCCCCACTCCGCCATACCCCAGCCCATGGCAATCACCATTATATGTTACGTTTCGATAAATTGGCTACTCTGGGTAACTTATATAAATGGAATCATGCAGTATTTGCCCTTTTGTGTCTGAGTTATTGCACATAGCATAGCGTCTTCAAGGTTGATCCATGTTGTAGCATATGTCAGAATTTCATTTAAGGCTGAAAAATTGTTGTGCATGTATACATATCACATTTATTGGTTCGTCTGTCAATGGACATTTGGGTCATTGTAATGAAGTTTGGCTCTGGTAACAATACTGTTACATTCACAATGCTGTGAAGATTGATAGAGAACTATTTAAGTCCTTGCTGTAATTTTTTTTTGTGTATATATCCACAAGTAGAATTGCTGGATCATATGATAATTCTGTTTTTAATTTTTTGAGGAACTGGCCTATGTTTTCCATAGGAGCTATACCATTTTATCTTTCCACCAGCAGTACACAAGGATTCCAATTTCCCCACGTCTTCAGCACTTTTCTTATTTTAAAAATTATCCTCTGTAGTAGGTATGAAGTAGTATCTAATTATAGTTTTGAGTTGCATTTCTCTAATCATTACTGATTAGGTAATTTTCAGGTATTTCTTGGCAGTTTATACATTTCATTGGAGAAATGTTTATTCAAGTCCTTTGCCCATCTATAATTGGGATTTGTTTTGTTTTGTTTTTTAAATGCATTCTGTATACTAACTCCTTACTGGAAAGATGATTTGCAAATATTTTCTTTCGTTTTGTGGATTGGCTTGCCTTACGTATCACTCTTTTAAGAGTGTCCTTTGCTCAAAAGTTGTAAATATAAAGTCCAATTTTTTCTAAATTTAAATCCAAGTTAACGTATAATGTAATAATGATTTCAGGAATAGAATTCAGTGGTTTATCACTTACATATAACACCCAGTGCTAATCCTAACAAGTGTCCTCCTTAATGCCCCTCACCCTTTTATCACTTTCCCCCCACTCAACACCCTACCAGCAACTTTCAGTTTATTTTTTGTATTTAAAGTCTTATGATTTATCTCCCTTGCTGTTTTTATATTATTTTTGCATCCCTTCCCCTGTGTTCATCTGTTTTGTATCTTAAATTCCACATATGAGTGAAATCATTTATTTGTCTTTCTCTTGATGGACTTATTTTGCTTAGCATAATACACTCTAGTTCCATCCATGTTGTTGCAAATGGTAAGATTTCATTCTTTTTGATTGCCAAGTAATACTCCATTGTGTATGTATACCACATCTTTATCCATTCATCAGTCAATGGACATTTGGGCTCTTTCCATACTTTGGCTGTTGTCGAAAGCACTGCTATAAACGTTGGGGTGCGTGTGCCCCTTTGAATTAGTACTCCTGTATCCTTTGGGTAAATACCTACTAGGGCAGTTGCTGGGTCATAGGGTAATTCTGTTTTTTTAAAAACTTTGTGAGAAACCTCCATACCATTTTCCAGAGTGGCTGTGCCAGTTTGCATTCCCACCAGCAGTGCGAAGAGGTTCCTCTTTCTCCGCATCCTCTCCAGCATCTGTTGTTTCCTGAGTTGTTAATTTCACCCATTCAGGTGTGGGTGGGATCTCATTGTGGTTTTGATTTGTATTTCCCTGATGATGAGTGATGTTGAGCATTTTTTCATGTGTTGGTTAACCATCTGGATGTCTTCTTTGGAAAAGTGTCTATTGATGTCTTTTACCCATTTCTTCACTGGATTACTTGTTTTTTGGGTGTCGAGTTTGTAAGTTCTTAATAGGTCTTAGATACTAATCCCTTATCTGATGTGTCATTTGCAAATATCTTCTCCCATTTGGTTCATTGCCTTTTAGTTTTGCTGATTGTTTCTTTCGTCCTGCAGAAACCTTTTATCTTGATGAGGTCCCAATAGTTCATTTTTGCTTTTGTTTCCCTTGCCTCTGGAGACATGGCAAGTAAGAAGTTGCTTTGGCTGAGGTTAAAAGGTTGTTGCCTGTTTTCTCCTCTAGGATTTTGAGGGCTTCCTGTCTTACATTTAGGTCTTTCATGCATTTTGAGTTTATTTTTGTGTATGGTGTAAGAAAGTGGTCCAGGTTCATTCTTCTCTGTGTCACTGTTCGCTTTTCCCAACACCATTTGCTGATGAGACTATCTTTTTTCTATTGGATATTCTTTCCTGCTTTGTCAAAGATTAGTTGGCCATATGTCTTTGGGTGCATTGCTGGGTTCTCTCTTCTTTTCCAATGATCTGTGTGTCTGTTCTTGTGTCAGTACCGTACTGTCTCGATGACTACTGCTTTGTAATATAGCTTGAAGTCCGGAATTAATGATGCCTCCAGCTTTGGTTTTCTTTTTCAGGATTGCTTTGGTTATTCAGGGTCTTTTCTGGTTCCATATAAGTCTTAGGGTTTTTTTTTTTTTTTAAGTTCTGTGAAGAATGCTGGTGTTACCTTGATAGGGATTGCATTGAATATGTAGATTGCTTCGGGTAGTACCGACTCGATAAGGTCCCATTTATCTGTTGCCTGTGCTTTTGGTGTTATGTCCAAGAAATTAGTGTGAAATTCAACATCGTGAAACTTCTGTATATTTTCTATAAATATTTTATACTTGAAGCTTTCATGTGTAGGTCTTTGATGCACTTAGAGTTTTTTGGCTATGGTATAAGGTATAGACCCAGCTTCTTTCTTTTGCATATCTTATTTGCCCAGTACCATTTATTGAAAAGACTGATCTTTTTCCATTGAATAGTCTTTGTTGAAAAACATTTGAGGGGCGCCTGGGTGGCGCAGTCGGTTAAGCGCCCGACTTCAGCCAGGTCACGATCTCGCGGTCCGTGAGTTCGAGCCCCGCGTCGGGCTCTGGGCTGATGGCTCAGAGCCTGGAGCCTGTTTCCGATTCTGTGTCTCCCTCTCTCTCTGCCCCTCCCCCGTTCATGCTCTGTCTCTCTCTGTCCCAAAAATAAATAAAAAACGTTGAAAATAAATTAAAAAAAAAAAAAGAAAAACATTTGAGGGGTGCCTGAGTGGCTCAGTCAGTTAGGCCTCTGACTTTGGCTCAGGTCATGATCTTAACAGTTTGTGAGTTTGAGCTCCACGTCAGGCTCTTTGCTGACAGCTCAGAGCCTGAAGCCTGCTTCGGATTCTGTGTCTCCCTGTCTCTTTGTGCCTTCCCTGCTCGTGCATGCTCGTGCACTCTCTCTCTCTCTCTCAAAACTAAATACACGTTAAAAAAATTAAAAAAGAAAAATAACCATTTGATGATATATATGAGGATTTATTTCTGGGCTTTCCATTCTATTTCCTTTGTATTTCTGTCATTATGCCAGAGCCACACTGTTGTGATTACTGTTAGCTTTGTGGTAAGTTTTGAAATCAGGAGTATGAATCATCCAGCTTTGTTCATTTTCTAGATTATTTTGGCTATTTAGGCTTCTTTGAGATTCCATATGAATTATAGGGTAGATTTTCTGTTGTTATAAAAGATGTCATTTTGAGTTTGATATGGATTGCATTGAATGTGTAACTGCTTTGAGTAATGACATCTTAAGATATTAAATCTTCCAGTCCATGAACATGAGATGTCTTTCCATTTCTTTGTGTCTTCTATAATTTCTTTCAGCAGCATTTTGGTAGTTGTCAGTGTTTGTCTTTTTCTTCCTTGGTTGTTTATTCTTTTTTGATGGTGTTCTAAATGGAATTTTCTTAATATCTTTTTTGGATTATATTTATTGTTACTCTATAGCAATTGATTTTTCTGAGTTGATTTTAATATTCCGCAACTTTGCTGAATTCATTTATTTCTAACTTTGTGCATGCATGTAACTATTAGGGTTTTCTACATGTTCGTTTTTATAATTTTTTTTTAATGTTTATTTTTGACAGAGACAGAGCATGAGTGGGGGAGGGGCAGAGAGAGAGGGAGACACAGAATCCGAAGCAGGCTCTGAGCTGTCAGCGCAGAGCCTGACACAGGGCTTGAACTCACAGACTGCAAGATCATGACCTGAGCCGAAGTTGGATGCTCAACTGACTGAGCCACCCCGACGCCCCTACATGTTCATTTTTGAACAAAGGCAGTTTTACTCTTTGTTTTCAATTTGGGTGCTTTTTATTTCTTTGTCTTGACTAATTACTCTGGCTAGAATTTCCAGTACTGTGTTGAGAAGAAGTGATTTAAGTGGACATCCTTTATCCTGAGCAAAGAGGAAAAGCTTTTGGTCTTTTACCACTGAGTATGTTAGCTAGGAGTTTTTTCATATACGACCTTTATTATATTGAAGTAGTTTTTTCTCTTTTTCTTCTATTCCTTATTTGTTTGATGTTTGTATCATGGAAGTGTGTGGAATTTTTTCAAACACTTTTTTTATTTTTTCCTTTATTAATGTGGTGTATTACAATGATACATTTTCGTATGTTGAACCATCCACGCATCCTAGAAATAAAACCTGAGTCATGCTGTATAATCCTCTTAATGTACTGTTGAGTTTTGTTTACTAGAATTTTGTTGAGGATTTTTGCATCAGTGGTCATAAGGGATATTGGTCTATAGTTTTACTGTGTCTTTGTCTAGATTTGGTATCAGAAAAAGGCTGGCCTAAAATGAGCTTGGAAGTGTTCCTTTCTCTTTAATTTTTGGAAGAGTTTGAGAAAAATTTGTATTAATTCTTTTAAGTGTTTGCTAGAATTCACTAGTGAAATCTTCTGATCGTGGACATTTCATTATTGGGAGAGTTTTGATTACTGATTGATTCAATCTCC